CTTTCTTTATTCCTACGTCCAGTCTTTCTTTATACCTACTCCAGTCTTTCTTTATTCCTACTCCAGTCTTTCTTTATTCCTACTTCAGTCTTTCTTTATTCCTACTTCAGTCTTTCTTTATACCTACTTCAGTCTTTCTTTATACCTACTCCAGTCTTTCTTTATACCTACTTCAGTCTTTCTTTATACCTACTCCAGTCTTTCTTTATTCCTACTCCAGTCTTTCTTTATACCTACTCCAGTCTTTCTTTATACCTACTCCAGTCTTTCTTTATTCCTACTCCAGTCTTTCTTTATACCTACTTCAGTCTTTCTTTATACCTACTCTAGTCTTTCTTTATATCTACTCCAGTCTTTCTTTATACCTACTTCAGTCTTTCTTTATACCTACTCCAGTCTTTCTTTATTCCTACTCCAGTCTTTCTTTATTCCTACTCCAGTCTTTCTTTATTCCTACTCCAGTCTTTCTTTATACCTACTCCAGTCTTTCTTTATTCCTACTCCAGTCTTTCTTTATTCCTACTTCAGTCTTTCTTTATATCTACTCCAGTCTTTCTTTATTCCTACTCCAGTCTTTCTTTATACCTACTCCAGTCTTTCTTTATACCTACTCCAGTCTTTCTTTATACCTACTTCAGTCTTTCTTTATTCCTACTCCAGTCTTTCTTTATTCCTACTCCAGTCTTTCTTTATTCCTACTTCAGTCTTTCTTTATATCTACTCCAGTCTTTCTTTATTCCTACTCCAGTCTTTCTTTATACCTACTCCAGTCTTTCTTTATACCTACTTCAGTCTTTCTTTATACCTACTTCAGTCTTTCTTTATACCTACTCCAGTCTTTCTTTATACCTACTCCAGTCTTTCTTTATACCTACTTCAGTCTTTCTTTATTATTATTTCAACCTGTACCAGTATTGAACCCTGAACTTACAGGTTAGCGAGCAAGCGTCAAACTCACTGAGCCACTGTGGCTCCTCAAACAAGTAGATAATGTATTTCTATATTAAATAAAGGAATACAATTTATGATATACGACTCCAGTTTTTTTGTACACAATGTTTCTACAATTTACACTGTCTTATTTAATGTGACCTACTAGACAGTTGATTGAGGATTATATTAATGTATTATTTGTTATAGATTTGGCAACACTGTGATTGTGTAGGGGCTACAGGTAATGAGGAGTATTATGTTTGTGAAAAATGTGACGGACGGACGTATGATAAGGTATGTTACAACATCTACATTCATTTGTTATTTTTATATTAATCTATCTTTTCTGATAAAAACTAACAAAATTAATTTATGTGAACAATACACCTGTACCTGTCAATCATTAAGTAGGCGTGTCTTATTTCAGGGTTTTTATTGGTTGATAATGAAATCAGGTAATAGCATTATTGGTGTGATCACATGACAAACTGAATAAGTGATGGATGTTTTATCACAAGAAATTTGTCAAAGTTGTAATTTAAGAAATGTTAATATAATTTTCTCTGTTTTCCAGGAAATCAAGTTAGTGCCCCAACCAACAGACGGAGATAGTGAAAACGATTATTATATGACGTTATTACGAGATGATCTCCAGGTGGCGATAGGAGAATGTGTTTATATTTTACGTGATTATAAACGTAACTCTGATGGTACTCCTGATATACGACCTCTCTCAGATTACACTAATATCACCCCTGATAAACTTGACATCTTTAGAATTGAACGACTCTGGAAAAATAAAGCGTAAGTAAAATATTATTCCTTTGGGTTTGTTTCAGAATTAGTTTCTGTCTACCTAAATGATTAACTTTTAGAATATTTGTATTTGTACTATGATCAAGAGTATCTTTGAGAATTTGTATCCGAGATTCATGGATATTGATATTTGAGCACCAAGTAGAATTTCACTATAATTTAAAATCTTACTGGTTGAAATATGTTCACCAGGGCAGCTAGATAGATATTAACTTTCTAATACTACAACTTCACCAATCTCAATATATATAAAATACAAGCATATTGTTTTATTATAGATGATTTCATTGTATAATTTCAGTGGTGAAAGATTTGCCGATGGTCATCCGTTTGTTCGACCTCATGAAACATTTCACGAACCAACCCGTAAATTTTTCCCCAATGAGTTATTTCGACTACCTACTCTAGAGATAGTACCAGTGGAAGTTATGGTGGGGACATGCTGTGTTATGGATCTATATACCTACTGTAAAGGTCGACCCAAGCTAGTAAAAGAAAAAGATATTTATATTTGTGAATATCGTGTTGATAAAACAGCTCATCTCTTTTATAAAGTTGTTAAAAATTGGTGAGTGGATTTAGATTTAAATTATATTCATTTATTTTATAAATCTTGAAATAGGAATTTATTTTATTTTATAAATCTGGAGACAGTTATATTGTCTTCTGTATTATTTCATTCTGTCAACTCATCAAATCTAGAAATTTACCATAAAATATATTATTTTGAAATGATACAATAATTTATATAATATATATTTTATATATAGGTATCCTATCAACACCAAATCTTACTGTTTCAATACTTTTAAAGAAAAACTTAATGCTAAAAGAACTTATTCTGTAAGTATGACTAAATGGATTTTTAAAAAATATAAATATTAAACTTTTTGCAAACCATGATGTCAGGTTTTTTTTTGTCATGTACATTGACCTGGGGACAGATTGAAACAAAATAATATAATCTAATTCAACTGGCAAAATTTACTGACTTTTTCTCTGCAAAAAACTTTTCCTCTAATGCCACTAGCAAGATATACCACCCTGGGTGGTGTTTTTATTAATATCGTGCATGACAACATTGGACACAGCTAATCACATGAAAGGTGAATGTCAAGACTATTTCTAATTGTTAATAAAGCAAGGTGACTGTTCTGTGAGAATTCCAAATATTTTCCTTTAAAGATAGCCAAAGATATTTTATAGATTGCATTGCCCAATTAGGTGCAGAAACATAGGATATTGAATACCATTTTCAAAATATATCACTAGTAATTTATTTATGATTTATTTTGTATTTTAGCCCCATCAGGTTCCTGAAGAATATTTAAGACGAACAGATAAACAAAGTTCCACGTCGAAATCTTCAACTGATAATTCTAGTAAAAATACAGATAAAAATAAAACAGAGGATAAAAATAGTAAAAAATCTAATAAAACAACTAAAATAAAGAAAAGATTATCAGTAAGTTTTAGTTTGTAGTTTCCTGGTTTCCTACCCTGGATATAATTAACCCTATATATATATAATATAACTATCACAAGATCTGCTTGAAACAACTAAGGGCCTTTGAGATAAAATGCAAGATCTATAGATGTCTGACTTAATATTGTAATGATGTAAATTGATGCTATAAAGGTCCTAGATACACATAAGAAGTTTAAAATCCCTGTAATGTACAGTCAAACAGTTAAAGGAAGATGATGATGGTTGCTTGTAAGGTCAAACTGTACAGTGATATTTTGAAAGAATACCTCGTACTTTACCTTCAGATATTCCTTATAATCAAGTTATTATTGGTACAAGCTTTAAATGGTGCTTAATCTCCAATTCTAACCATTTACAATTGTTTTGAAATAAAATATCTATTTTAACATTGATATATTTTTGTCTAATTTCCCTTATTACATATAGTTACAGCAATGATCTTAGAAATATTAGTCAGTATGAATTCTTCTATTTGTAGGAGAAAGAAAAACAAGATAAATTACACGAGATAATATTAAAACTGAGTTGTAGTGTCAAAGACAGTGAGATTGATTCTAACTCTACTAGTGATATTATTATAGACTCTAATACAACTTCTACACCCACGTCCTGATAGATACCCATTCTACTCAACATCTTCTTGTGCTATTCATACATCAGGGTTGTTGTGTGTGATTGTGCTTGCCAGTCATGTTTGATTGGAGCTCTATAAAGGGTTGGTGATGATATGTAGATGGAGAAAGATTACAAATCTACTCAGCTAATGTGCTATTTATGATATCAGGAGTGTTGTTTATGATTGTGCTTGCCAGTCATGTTTGGCTGGAGATCATCAGATGCCAGTTAAATTATGTGATACCAATCATGTCTGACTAGAGCTAAACATCGACTGTTAAAGAGCTGCATTTGCCAGTCATGTTGGACAGAAGATACAAGGTTTTGAAGGAATTAGTTGGTGGATGTACCTACCAGTTGTTTGCCAGGATTGTTTGGCTGAAGCTCAACACATGGCTGTTAAAAGAGAATCCTGCAGTGATGAATTGATGTGGTTGTGATGTAAGAGTCCACCACTATACAACTGGATTTTGTCATACTTTGGATAAGATTTTGATGAATGGAATTGTCATGCTTGTAGGCGATTTTATTTATTCACAAGCCAGACTTTGTAAAACATTGACTTATAAACTTTCTGATCTTAAAGGAATTTATTACCCACAAACTTATAGTTTACTGTTTGATTTTGTTATGATTCTGAATTTGTTTGTTAAGCTTTGAATATTATACAACAGTTTAAATATTTACTTTACCAGCTGATAGATCTTAGACCGGTACCATCTGAATTAGACTGGTACATCTGAATTAGACTGGCAGATCTGAATTAGACTGGTACATCTGAATTAGACTGGTACATCTGAATTAGATCTATTCCTATCAATTTAAAATCTGTGCTCTGTTCAAAATATCTCAAAATATTTCAACATTAATTTTGTTGTATGTGGGACCATTTTTTAATGAGAAACGGCACAAATTCAACAAATTTTATTGTGAAATGTTAGAGCCTGATATTTACTACAATTCTAGTAAAGTGAATATTAAGATTATATTATCCGTGAATATTTTTAATAAAGATTAAAATGCTACTTAAAAAAACAATATGATTATAATACAGGTGTAGATATTTTATTTTTGGTAGATTATTTTGTGAAATAGATTTGCCATCCTTAATCTTATAAAATTTCCTTCATTGCACACTGCATGGCATTACTCGTCATTATTAGCCCAATAAGGTGAAGGAAAGCAGGATGTAAAACTCCTTTCATTATTGAACCAATCAAGTTCTGTGTTTAATAAGCTAATTTGATATTATGTGTTCTCATGCACAACACGTTGATTCTCTTTTTCTGTCTCGAGATAAACAATTTTAATTTAACATGGCAATCTATGGACAGGGATGAAAAAATATTTAACTACATTGACAGATATCTATTGATCATATAGAACATTGTTTTAAGCAAGTTTTTCACTGCGTATATTCTGGTGATTGTAAATGTAGGAAACCAGTTGTATAAGATTCTTGTCAATAGACTGTCATGTTAAATCAATGAGTAGAGAATTAGCTCATGTATCATATCAAATTGATTTATAAACAATTCACTGTCTACACTTTTAATTAACAATGTTTTTAGTTAATTAGCATGATTTATGACAATTTATGGTTTAAAATTTGAACACTATTTAAAGAAAAGTCTTGTCAGATCAAGGATGTCGAAGGTATTTTAACTGCAGAAAGAGAATATTTAGAACTGTATTTTAATTAGATTACCCGTAATTAAGTGATAAATTTTGTTGCTTGTTATTGAATTTCAGTTGTTATTATTTGTTTTGTTATTATGCTATGCAATAATTTTACTTAAAACCTCCTAATTTACTTATTTTCTCCCAATTTATGACTTGACCACACAATTTAATCTAAAAAACCCATGAAATCTTTCTGTGATTCCAAATTGTTCCAGGCAATGATTTTGATACAATGAAGTGTAATCCTAGAGTTATTGGATGTTTTAAACTATATGGCGCTCTATTGAATGCCACTTGCTAAGTTTCTTTGCTTGATTTTGTATGGCTGAATTGTGAGACTATTTGATTGTACAAAAATGATATCAACTTTAAGTTGAACTATACGATTTTAAATCAAGCAGCCATTTTGTGTAACAATGAGATTTTGATTTCTTCATTCTTAGTGTCCAAGATGATCTGGTTGATTTTCAAATTCAATTTTTTCTATGTCAATAATGAGTTGAAATTTTAAGTTGAAAATAAATTTGAGTAATTATTATTTTAATTAACGAATTTGTTTAGCTAACGCCGTTGAGATTTTGAAATTGACTAGTTTGTTCGCCTATATTTTAACATTTATAACAAGAATTATAAATATTTTCTGTGACAACTATAAGAATGAGAATTGAGTTGACTCATGATAATTGTTTGAAACTGAGTAACTATTTGTGTAATGATCATAATTTGAGATTTTTAAATCTAAGACAGAGACTATTTTATGTAATGACTATCATTCTGACTCTGTCTGATTTTTCAAACTGAGAGAGTGGGAGACTAATGACTATCATTCTGACTCTGTCTGATTTTTCAAACTGAGAGAGTGGGAGACTAATGACTGTCATTCTGACTCTGTCCGATTTTTCAAACTGAGAGAGTGGGAGACTAATGACTATCATTCTGACTCTGTCTGATTTTTCAAACTGAGAGAGTGGGAGACTAATGACTGTCATTCTGACTCTGTCTGATTTTTCAAACTGAGAGAGTGGGAGACTAATGACTATCATTTTGACTCTGTCTGATTTTTCAAACTGAGAGAGTGGGAGACTAATGACTGTCATTCTGACTCTGTCTGATTTTGTAAACTGAGAGAGTGGGAGACTAAAGACTATCATTCTGAATCTGTCTGATTTTTCAAACTGAGAGAGTGGGAGACTAATGACTGTCATTCTGACTCTGTCTGATTTTGTAAACTGAGAGAGTGGGAGACTAATGACTATCATTCTGACTCTGTCTGATTTTTCAAACTGAGAGAGTGGGAGACTAATGACTGTCATTTTGACTCTGTCTGATTTTTCAAACTGAGAGAGTGGGAGACTAATGACTGTCATTCTGACTCTGTCTGATTTTTCAAACTGAGAGAGTGGGAGACTAATGACTGTCATTCTGACTCTGTCTGATTTTTCAAACTGAGAGAGTGGGAGACTAATGACTATCATTCTGGCTCTGTCTGATTTTTCAAACTGAGAGAGTGGGAGACTAATGACTATCATTCTGACTCTGTCTGATTTTTCAAACTGAGAGAGTGGGAGAATAATGACTATCATTCTGGCTCTGTCTGATTTTTCAAACTGAGAGAGTGGGAGACTAATGACTATCATTCTGACTCTGTCTGATTTTTCAAACTGAGAGAGTGGGAGACTAATGACTGTCATTCTGACTCTGTCTGATTTTTCAAACTGAGAGAGTGGGAGACTAATGACTATCATTCTGACTCTGTCTGATTTTTCAAACTGAGAGAGTGGGAGACTAATGACTGTCATTTTGATTCTGTGAGATTTTTGAAACTGAGTATCTAGTTTGTGAAACTATTTTGTTAAATGACGGTAAATTTGGCTTGGTGAGATTTTAAAAACTGAGCGATTATTTTGTGTAACGACATTAATGTTTATGATTGTATATATGATCTATCAAGTTAATTTAATTAGTTTATGTGTAGAATAAAATTCATTGTTAAAACCACATTATGTAAGTAATTAGTTACAGTGAGTATATAATACTCTATTGTTTATATTGTATAAAATCTTGTATATAATTCAGTATTTCTTCCCCATGCTAAATGGCATATTTCACTTTTATTTTATTTTCATATTTCTAATATTTTCATCTTATCTGTTATCCTATTTTCATATTTTTTCATTCATCAGTTTATCAGACATCAGTTTGATCATGTGATTTAAAATTTGCTGTGTTTCGTCATCTATGTGTTATCCCATTTTCATCTTTCATCAGTTTTTTTCATGGCATTTGAAAATTGCTGTGTTTTTCATCTCTGTGTGTATTTTCTCAATATTCAAGTCTGTTTTTTTTATAAACCCTGCTTTATTTAGATCTGATATCTTTTATTTATTACAGTGTAATATCATTTTGATACTATTTAAAACCAGAGTACCAGACATTCTGCCTTCATTACAGCCTCTGATATCTCCAGTCAACAACATTCTATATATCTATCAGAGGCTGGAATAGAGACAGAATGTTTCTTACTAGTTCAATTCATTGTTTATTATTGATGTATTGCTACTATTTTTATCAAAGTGAAATGTGACTAGAGAAATATTTTTGAGGTGCTAAAATTGTCAATTTCTTTCATGCAAAATTTCAAACATGAAGAGTGTATAGATTTAAACTACCAGTAATACCTGTTGTAAAACTATATACAATATTGTCTAGACAGTACTGAACATTCACAGATAACAGATTGTCATTAAAACAGTCTTTAGAAGCTCTCCGTTTTAACCTCTTGACAGCTAATATTCTCCCATTGTCCACTTCCAGCAGATGCTGATAATGCAACCGGACAGAATGTGATTAAAACAATAATTAGAAGCTGTCAGGTTTAGCTGTTAACATCTAATAATCACCTAGTGTTATAAGACTAGAGAGTTTTATACCCTCCAGGACCCTACCATCATTATTAATATCTCTCAGATGTTCTATAATATCCAATGTTTATATATTGACAACTATTTATTGTACAGGTATAATCAGTCATTACGAATAAATTACGAATAAATTAGCATGAATTAACTTCTTGGTTGTAACATTTTATATTAACATTTACTAATCTTTCATAATTCATATTACTAATGTTGAATTTAGCTCCTTCTTTCTTAGATTGTCGTGGCAAAATTTCCCTCATTGCACACTGCATGGTGTTGACCATTCTTAGTAGCTAAAACAGGTTGATTTATCTGCTGTTTGAACAAAAAAAAGTATCTTGAAATGGTGACGTCTTTTCTCAAAATATTTTTTTTTTATAGTTTTTCATTTTTTTGTTTTTTTTTATTCATACTGAAGATCTTTTATGAAACAATGGACGACATAAAAAGTCACTGATTAAATTTGTCATGGCTGGGGAAAATCTCAAGGAGAAGTTGAATTTAACATGGTTTATTAACGTGTTCATATTTTTCAACTAAAACAAACTTTTCGTTTGATATTTAATTTATTGTTATTTGTGGCTTATGTTACTCTTTACTGTGTTATTTTTCATTTTTCTGAACAAAAATTGTACAAACAGCTTTTACATCTAATTTTTTTATGTTATTTGTTATTATTTTTTGTGCCGTTATATGCAATAATCTCCCATTATCCCCCTAGTATAACTTAAAACCATATCATGACTTGAAATTATGATAAAAACCAAGAAAAATTTGTTGATGCTTGGTAACCAATGGTAACTTTCTCCAATCATGTTTTTAGGAGTTTGTTACTAAAAATAAAACGTAGAATTTATTATGTTCTTTTCATTGAAAATATAACCCTATTTCACTAGCCCTAATTCACTAGCCCTGCGGTCAGTTGTCCACTTTTATAGAATATTTTGTCCCCTTTTTACCTGAAAAAGCATTTAACTCCACAAAACTAAATGAAAACTGTTTATATCACCAAATATTTAGCACCTTGATTGTTTTACATCTTCTATACCAGCATTCTCGAGTCTTAACTAAACATTTCATCAGATGAACAGTCAAAGTTGAAAATTCATCAATTGGATGATCTGACATACCCAATATCCAATTCTCACTAGAAACAACATGAGCAATAGGAGAAATCGGCTTGAGTAGGACAAACCACTCTTATAACTGTTAAAGTTGTACATCATGTGATACACAAACCATCTCTATGACATCATGGCTGATCTCTTCTATTGACAGGATTAAAAGCTTGGCTGATCAGATCATCCTGTTAATATAATCAAGTTGTTGTCACATGTCATTACTGTTATTTCTCTTTTCCAGGAGTGAAGACACATCTTGGTCTCCAGTTTTTACGGTACCATTCTTCTTCCTCGTCAGATTTATATTCTAGTGTCATGGCATCTTCCTGGTTCCCTGAAAATATCATCTGTATAGCTTACAGTAGACAGAGAGTTATTACTCTTGCAGCACACACTAATATTATATATCTATAACCACGTTTCCACTGAGAATTGTAAATTAAAGCTGGCTTTTTCCCTCCGTGGAAACACAGTTAATAATAAATTATTAGTTGGTGGGGTGCGAGCTCCGGCCACAAAATTGTTCCTCTGATAGGAGGGGGGAGGGGGCATGGACGGATCACAGACCAGCCTTCGTTTCTCCTACTATAATCCCCCTCCCCTTTTGGAGAAAAGTCACATCATTATATTAGGCACTGTGGAAACAATGAAGATTTAAATTTAAAATATGGTTTGTAATACTAAAATATAGCCTTTGACTTACCTGATAACCAGTCTCTAGGATCTGTATATGGTCAAAGTTAAGTCTTCTACTGGTCGATTGAAACGTGACAGGTCCTGGGGGTTGAAAACTTGTTAAACTATCTGATTGATGATAGGGGAATCTATCGAAACCTGGTGTTCTGTCTGTATCTATTGAACTAGATATCGGTATATTGATTGGAACATTGAAGGATTCTAATATTTCTTTTGGAATCGGACGATGAATGACCTGAAATGATCAAACACTAGACATCTTAAAGGTCATAGTTCGCCATTTTGGGGGTTATAGTCTTCAGAAGAACTAAACATGTACTTCAAACTACGAATTTTACTTTCTATTTCCATTTTTGACGGAGTTTCAAGAAAAGACGATTTGTCATTTTAACTTTCAAACGCGGATAATTCTGAAAACACATGGATTTAAAGGCTCAAATGTCAACTGTGAACACTATTACTGATTAGTTTAGCTAAAATTCCTATTCTGAGACTACAGTACGAATGGGCAAACGAATGGCGAATTTGTCACTTTAAGTAGTAGTGTATGGCCAATTATATTTTATAATTTGAAATATTTATTGTGGTTAGATTGGTGTTGAGAGAAGAGAAATCAGAGATAATAAAATTATTAAACGTACTGGTGTTTCTGGTAGAGGTGGTATCTCTATATTATCTAATGTTAGAGTTTTTATTTTATTATTCTGTCTTTGGTTAGTTGGTGTCACCTCTCTATAATATATAAATATTAATAAGGTCAGTTATATTAAAGATCATTCTTGTCTAACTATATTCAAAGTAAGCAGATTGTGTTTTTTTTTTAGTACGTCCTTCAAATTAACAAAAACAGCCCTGGAGGGAGATGCCTCATGGAGTGGCGGTTTTTGCCTGAAAAATATTTGTCAAAATGCACCAAATCAATACTATTTTTCACAAAACCTTCTCCATGTGAGACTTGCGCTTCCACAGAGGTGCCGCATTTTGAATCTAAACCTACACAGTTGCAACCACCCTCCCCTTCTCATTGGCAGTCAGTTGTTAAGGTAACTGGTGCCCCCTGACCCACCCCCTAAGTTATTTCTTTAAGTCGCTCCTGATTAATTGACTCTTACCTGGAAACTCTAGAGCAGTAAAATTTGAGTTGTTTTAAATGATTTTCGACTGCCATACCGTGATCTATTCTAGACGTATCTTCTTTAACTATTCCAGTCTTCTTTCTTTTTCTACAAAAATTATCAAAAATACCCAGGGACCTCGTACTTTTTTCTCTGGGGATGTGGGTTGCGGCCCCGTGGATTTGGTTCAACCACACCCTATGGTAGTTGACCAATTTAGAATCTCATTAATCGTTGGATTTGGTCGATCTGAGCGTGACCAGTTGAACTATTAAACCCCCACCTGATATCAAATTGTATCTAAGACTGTCAACTAACTAAAATGAAGAAAATACCTGAGATGACGGGGATGTGGCAGTTCTCTGGCTGACATAATGTTAATATCATTCCATAGACATTTCTTATTCTTACCACTTACAGGATTTTCATCTGTTATTTCAGAGAGTAGATCGTTTTGGGGTAAATTTCTCTGAGCTCGTCCAACAAGATATTTAGAATAACTGAAAAAGACAGTGTTTAATGATCTAGAATATTCTGTTGATACATGAACATCTTGTTTTCCTTTAGGCCCATAATCTGGCCCTACTGATGTTACTTTTTATGGGAGATGCTCTGATCCATTTCTAGATTACTAGTTTTTGAGAATTTTCACCCTATTCAGGACGACTAATTTTGGAAATGGAAGTTAACTCTCCGAAATTGGACTAGCTAGGCCTACTGGTTAGTTAAACGTAACAAATTTAGTTAATTTAAGCCTTTTACCTATTATGACTGTAATTCATGGCTATGTTTGTTCCTCCGCTACTCCTGATCGTCTCCACTCCAACCCCGGGTTTTACTGGAGTAATAAAATCTTCTGATGATATTTGGTTATTTTGTGAGGCTGTGAAAATATTCATGTTGGTGTTTCTTTCATCATGATTATCATCATTTCGTCGTGCCGTCTGAGAACATCTGTAAATTTGATTTTGACAGTTTTATCAATGTTACCCTCGACACTGGTTTGCCAAATAATTTGAGGTAGGAAGGGTGCTTGGCCTTGGCCTCTCCAGACTCCAGAGCCAAATTGACTTAATTCAAGTAACTTAAACTTAAGCGAAGGAAAATAAAGGGCAGGGGATTCATAACTTTCCTGTAAACATATGTGATAAAAATTGACTTACTTTCCGAAACTTAGGTCGAAATAGCTCTCAGATTCTGCTTCCATTTTATACGATGAACAGGCAAATCTCTGATTTCTTGATATCTGCACCTTGCTAGGAAGTCCTAGTACTAGTAGTGTTCTAGGAAACTTAGTGAAGTCGACACTGTCCGCTCGGTCTTTAATTTGAGATCCTCCAAATTCTCTTTTTAGCCTTTGATGAACGACAACCTTAAGCTGTTGACCTCTTAAAGTTTTAAGTAGCAAAATGTGATAGTCTGTTGTTTTCAAATCGCATATATATCTAAAGAATCGTATTTTTGAAGAAATAATATGAAAAGCGTCGTCTGCAATGACAGTTATTTGTTGACATTATTTCTGTGCACACAAATTGATGACGTAAATCACATGTTACCATAGTTTCCTACCAAAGCATAGAAAATGGCGTCGATGTAGAAAGGAAAATTGTGTTGTTTACCTGTTCGTTTATTAGTTTTAGGTAGTTTGTTTACAAAAGGTGACTTTGATTTATTAAATTTTGTAACAGTATGTCAGCCCCTCAAAATACGAAAGTACAAAGGCGTCAAAGGGCGAATTATAACAGAATATTTTGCGATATAGGTATAATAGGTTTTGTTTACATTGGCAGGTGCCCGTTCAAAATCAAGAACAAAGTTCAGCTCAGTCAGTTGTCTTCGTGTCCCGATTATACCAACAAAACTCTGTATTTTTTATTTCATGTCCAATGTATGTACTGTCCTGGTAATACTTATATTATTATTGTATCCTGTTTACAGATCAGCTTGATATCAAATGAATTATTAATTAAAGTCCATGGCCTTGATATTCCCATTAGTTTAATAGTATACATATATCTAAATAATAGATATAGTTGTTCATAGGTCAACTAACAGTACAATAATAAAAACCATAGTGGCCATTTATTGCAGTTAACATCAATTAGTTTACCGCCATTATAAGACATCAACTAGTCTAGTAAGACAACATTATTGCTTTCAACTTTGTTCAATATTTTCTAGTCTAAATTCTGATTAAGCTTACTACCATCTACTGTAAAAATAAGTAGGGTAATAAGTTTGACAATAAATCAGTTGTTTACTATATTAAACTCTATATTGTTTATTGTTTATGTACTTGAATCAGGTTAAAAAAGTTTGTGGTACTGGGTGAGTGGGAGTTGGGGAGTGATTGAGATTAAGATCTAAAAATGGCTACCAAGGAGAAAATATTTAAAAAGAAAAAGAAAATTGTACCTGAACCTGAATTACAGAAAGATAATAAAGAATTAGATAGTGAAGGTGAAGGTCGACTATTTTTATTTCTCATTTTATGGTTCTATTACAAAGATATCTTGTGACGAATTAAAATTATATACAATCAAAGACACAAATAATCTATGTTATTTTAAGGTAGTTTTTCAGACCTAAAAATGTTGTGTTTACACACGTAACAACTTGTAAAAACTGGAACCTTAGTCTCGAAAACTTGACTGAGATTAAATCTAGATATAAGATAAGCTATTTGAAAAAAAGTTCCCAGGTCTTGTTTACGTTTTAAATTGTGTGGCTGGAAGTTCGCAAATATCTTTTTCTAGTGAAGAGTTATTGCCCTTGTCTATTATAGATACTGTAAGTAAAGAGAGTATACCAGTCATAGTAAAATCAGCAGAAGATACTAATATCATTGATAATGTCCACAAACAAGATCAGGTAAATCTTGCTATTCACATTTCAATTTTTATTCATCAGCTGCTTTCAAAAATATTCTACCCTTGTAACTCTTAGCTTAAAGTTGAAATCTGTAATGAATTCATCTTTAGTTATTATTTCTTGATTAGACTTTGACATTTTTATACTGTAATCTGACATTTTTATACTGTAATCTGACATTTTTACACTAATCTGACATTTTTACACTAATCTGACATGTTTATACTGTAATCTGACATGTTAATCTGTAATCTGACATGTTTACACTGTAATCTGACATGTTTATACTGTAATCTGACATTTTTATACTGTAATCTGACATTTTTACACTAATCTGACATTTTTACACTAATCTGACATGTTTATACTGTAATCTGACATGTTTATACTGTAATCTGACATGTTTATACTGTAATCTGACATTTTTATACTGTAATCTGACATGTTTATACTGTAATCTGACATGTTTATACTGTAATCTGACATGTTTATACTGTAATCTGACATGTTTATACTGTAATCTGACATGTTTATACTGTAATCTGACATTTTTACACTGTAATCTGACATGTTTATACTGTAATCTGACATGTTTATACTGTAATCTGACATGTTTACACTGTAATCTGACATGTTTATACTGTAATCTGACATGTTTATACTGTAATCCGACATGTTTATACTGTAATCTGACATGTTTATACTGTAATCTGACATGTTTATACTGTAATCTGACATGTTAATCTGTAATCTGACATGTTTATACTGTAATCTGACATTTTTATACTGTAATCTGACATGTTTACACTGTAATCTGACATGTTAATCTGTAATCTGACATGTTTATACTGTAATCTGACATGTTTACACTGTAATCTGACATGTTAATCTGTAATCTGACATGTTTATACTGTAATCTGACATGTTTATACTGTAATCTGACATGTTTTCAAAACTTATTGTTTTATTAGAAAGATATGTTACTATGATTTCTCTTCATCATTTTATCATTTTTAGTAACAAATTATAAATAAAGATGGAGAAAAAGATAATTATATTATATAATCTTTATAGTTTTTCATTTTCAAATCATTTTCTTTAAGGAGTCTCTGAATGAAGATAAAGAAATTGTTAAAGATGACAACCAAAGTGATTCAACCTCAGTTAAATCTAAGGATGGGTCAGAGGTCAAATCAAAAGATGGGTCAGAGGTCAAATCAAAAGATGGGTCAGAGGTCAAATCAAAAGATGGGTCAGAGGTCAAATCAAAAGATGGGTCAGAGGTCAAATCAAAAGATGGGTCAGAGGTCAAATCAAAAGGTCGATATGAGAAAAAAGAAAAAGATAAAGAAAGATCAAGAAGTCCATCAGTTGTATCCTCTGCCTCAAAACGAAGCTCGTCTCCATTCAGTAGAAACGTTGTAGAACCGGCGCCAGATGATGGAACTGTTCCAGGATCTAACATGGGAAGCTCGGCTTCTCTAAGATCCAACTTTTCAGCCAAGAGTAAAGGTAACATGCCTTGTTGATTTTTTTTGGAAAAAAAAAGTGAGAAAAAGATTTTGCTGTGTAAATTTGACTTGACAAAATCGAAAAGATAAATTTATATTAAGTCTGAAATCTATCTAGGATTATTTATAATGGATAGGACTAATTAATGTGTTGAGCTAAAGTCAATAATCATAACAGATATTTATTTAATTTTAACTTCTCTTTGTGATTTTTCATCAGTCAACTATAAATCCTTATAAAAATTAACATATCATATTTTTAAAGATTAAAGATTTATATTTTGGAAAGATCATAATCCTGATTTCTATTTATTCTAGAAGCATGGAGTGATAATAATGAACCATCAACTAGTAAATCTAAAATTAAACGACCAAGTAAGTATTTATTTCAATCTGAATCAGTCTGAATTAAAAGAATGTGGTTGATCTTGGCCTAGATATTTCCTGTATTATCACTAACTATTTAAAGTTGGGTTGATCTTGGCCTAGATATTTCCTGTATTATCACTAACTATTTAAAGTTGGGTTGATCTTGACCTAGATATTTCCTGTATTATCACTAACTATTTAAAGTTGGGTTGATCTTGAATTATAAGGAAAGATGACTTATTCAAGGTCACCAGACATTCACTAGCAACTGAAATAAGAACTAATGAAATGTTATATTTGATTTTGCTGAATTTGAAATCCAGTCTTGATGAATTGTATGTTGTATTATTTTAGAATCTGCTACCAGTACCTCAACTATAGTTAGTAAACTTGATGATATCAATAAAACTAAACAAGATGGTAGGTTGTCATTATTTTCTAACTTGTAATCACTTTTTTTACTGATTCTTTTTCAAAATATAGAATAAGGATAAATAAAGCTGAACCAAAGAATACCAAAGTCTCAAAGTCAGTTGAAAATTCCATGGACAGGATAAAATCGGGTTTAAAAAACAATCAGTTTACAACATCCTGGAACTGAAAGTAAATAAAAGTGGACCTCTAGAGAGAGGTAGTATCACAGTGTAATAAAATCTGCATTGTGTTCCTGTCTTCTATAGATTAATAAGGTGCAGGAAAGGAAAACTTCCATTATGTTTCATTCCTGTTACCTTCACTTACCTTCAATTTTGACCTTGTTCTGAAGATACAGATGTGTTAACTCTTCGAAATGTACTCTTAGAAGAACTGAATTTTTTTTTATCGTTTCTCTTGTAGATACAGTTAGTATACGATCAAAACAATCCATGGCTACAGAGCAACATCAGAATGCATATATACCGTATCTTTACGCTAGAAACTGTATCAAACAGATCACTAATGATATGGAGTCTATGAAATTAAACCATATTCATATTGTTCATGATATCGAGAAAAATTATAAAGATATAGAAACTGAGACACAGGTATTCTGTTAAATTATAAAGATATAGAAACTGAGACACAGGTATTCTGTTAAATTATAAAGATATAGAAACTGAGACACAGGTATTCTGTTAAATTATAAAGATATAGAAACTGAGACACAGGTATTCTGTTAAATTTGATTATTTTTTTTAGTTGTTTATTATAAAATTAGTATTTAATCATTGTATTTCTATTAATTTGTCCTGATAGGTTTTATATTCAAAATATAATTAGACAATATACAAGGAGCTCAATAGGAATCTTCTTTCAAATTCAAATATTGGAATTTATCCCCATTTGTATTTATTTACCCATACGATGGTAGAACATATCCAAAAGATCTTTTAATAGATTAGTTAAGTTTTTCTGAATGAGAGTTGACATGTTTTATCATGGGTTGATTGATGTCTAAATATTGAAAAAGTTTAAAATGGTTGGTAATATTTTATTTTCATCATATTGAATTTTTCTATAATTTTAGAGTCAATTCAATATGTTTGTTTTGTGTCTAAGACAACAATATTCTGGTAATGTTAAAACTTTTAAACAAGTTATAGAAGTTCATAGATCAGAATTAAACAATAAAGAAACATATTGGAAAGAATTACTTTTGGTGAGTTTTTACTTTTATATCAAATTTCTGATTTTTCCTGGTGGCCAATTTACAGAAAATTTCTTTCTAATTAAAGAGATTGTAAAGATGGTTTCTTAAATTTTTTATGTGTATCTGGGACACTGATATCATCAATTTACACCATTCTAATTTTCAATCAGACGTCTGTGGTTCTTGTTAAAGAGATTGTAAAGATGTTTACTAAATTTTTTATGTGTATCGGGGACACTGATATCCTCAATTTACACCATTCTAATTTTCAATCAGACGTCTGTGGTTCTTGTTAAAGAGATTGTAAAGATGTTTACTAAATTTTTTATATGTATCAGGGACACTGATATCATCAATTTACACCATTCTAATTTTCAATCAGACGTCTGTGGTTCTTGTTAAAGAGATTGTAAAGATGTTTACTAAATTTTTTATATGTATCAGGGACACTGATATCATCAATATAAATCATTCCAATTATCAATCAGACGTCTGTGGATCTTGTAATTCCACTAAAACGTACGCGTTTTATGACTGTCGCAAAAGCTGATAATAATGATACAAAAGGCTGATAAAAGGCTGATAAAAGGCTGATAAAAGTATATATTGTAGAATTTAGTGTTAATGATGTATGATTTTGGTTTATTTTAGAGTTTAACAGAAAGAAACAACAAGATATTAAAAGATAAAAAGGTTTTATTAATTAAACATAAACTAGAGATTGACAGACTTGTTAAAGAAAAGGTAGGGAAAGAATAATATTTATAGAACTACTGATTGCTCTTCATTATATTTAACATTACCTGATATTATGACCCAATCAAGGGAGCCGCAGTGGCTCAATGAGTTAGTGTCTCTCCCAAATATTTAAAATTTTTGAAACTATCTATTAGAACTGTAAATATTGTTTTATATTTCAGGAAAAGATAAAAACTGAATTAACGACAATGGTGGACAAATCACAAGCCTCAGTTGTACAGGGTAAAATTTATTTATTTTTTTTATCATAAATTTTTTCATAGGAAAATAAGTTTAACTGTAAGCAGCCAGCAGTCATTGGGTCATGATATTTGAGTTTGAACAGTAGGATGATGATTATCAATGATTGTTGATAGTGACTATCAAAGATCGTGAAGTCATATTGACTGTTTTCTATTTTTTATATGACATGTATATCTATATTAATATAAAATTTATGCAGTATGTTACTATTTTTTGTCCTGTTTTTATAGTTGAGAAAGATTGTACAGAAAAAATGGAAAAAGAAAGTCAGTTGTTGAAATCGTCTATTGAGATACTGGAAAAACAAAATCAGGTATTTCTCTCGTGATGATTCTTCTCTTAACTTATTAAATAGATTTATTAAAGGTATATCAAATTATATTTAATAATCATAGGATGAAAAACTGTAGTTCTGGAACGTCAACTGTTGTCACAATTCCCTTAATCTATTAAGATGCTGAAATGTATAGAAAATTTGATATTGTAAAGCCCATGAGTGTCTAAATAACAGAATTTAAACTTCATTTATATTGATATTCCATTGATAAATATCTTCTTTCAACTCTCATTCTATTTTAAGATGAAATTTGTAATGAAATTGATGACTTTTTAAGGAATTGAGAAGTAAATCAGAAGAGGACCAATCAGAGATTGAAAGATTGACAGTATTATTGTCAGTTAAACCTAATGCTCCGATAGTCTCCTCCGTCACAGACCAAGCCCCAATAGTCTCCTCGACTACAGACAGGGTGAGGGCAGAACGAGATGGTATCAATGATGATATACCACCAGTTGTTGTCCCTGTTCCTGTGGGAAGGGAAGAACATGATCAAATTGAAGCAGAGAGAAATCAGATCTGGAAGGAACGTTCTGAGTTTTTGGAAGAACGAAGGAAGATGGAAGAAGAAAGTGTAAAATTTCTGGAAGAGAAGAAAGAAATGATTGAAGAGATGGGGAAGTTACAGGATGAAATTGCTGCTGCTAATAAGGTGAGTTCATATAAACACTGTACAACATTGTATCACCAGTCATAGTCTTGATCTATCTTTATGTCTAGTATTTTAACTTGCCATTTTTAATATCGTCAATATGTCTGTAGTTGTGGCAATTTCACTAAAACTAAGCGTTTTATGACTCCACTCTCGCAAAAGCTGCTATTGATATATATGGACATTTGTGATAGTGAAGTCATAAAACGCATGGTTTAAGTGGAATTGCAAC